GAGCTTGCATAGTTTTCAGTGATGATAAATATGCCACTGATTTGGAGTTTTGTATAATTTTACTTATGACATTGCTAAGAACATATGCATATTGATATTCTTTCCCAAAGTATTTGGAATTTTAGATTAATGATGTTGGGAGAAGAAATGGTTTCTAGTCCTGTATATTTTAGCAAAGTCATTTAACTGTGGGATAGAAGGAGATGAAGGAGCAAGTGGTCGTCGCTTAGAAGTTTAAAGATTTATTTATTGTGTATACATTGTTCTGCATGCATATATGCCTGCTTGTCAGAAGGGGGCACCAGATCTCATTACAGACAGTTGGGAGCCACTTTGTAAGTGCTGGGAACTGAACTCAGGACCTCAGGAAGAGCAGCCAGTGCTCTTAAACCACTGAGCCATCTCTCTAGCCGTATGAATATTTCTTGAAAGCTGGTTGAAAATAACTAAATTCTGACTTCTTATTCATGCATCAGCAGCCAATGTAGTATTTTAATTTTACTATAAGTTAAAAGAGCTCTTGCTAGAATAAAAAGTACTTTTCCAACTCAGTTCTTGTCCCAGGAAATTGATGATGCTGGTTTTTCAGATGGGGAAACCACAATTCAAACTATAAATTAGGTCTCGGAGACCCAAAACCGAAACACCCCATTTGCCTGGGCAGCATTGCATTTTCGGCTGGATTTCCAACATTCCCAGGAAGGAAAGGACACATTGGATTCTGCTTTCAGTCCAGAGAGATCAGGATCATTTGGCACAAGTTATTTAATTGCTCTTAAGATTCCTCCAGATTTTTTGTTTTTAAAGTAAGTAGTCTTTGTGAAGTTTAGCGAAGTATTAATAACTCCTTGTCGGTTCTAAGAATAAATTCCAACAAGACATAAAGAAAAGCAATCAAGCATTTACAGGTCAGAACTAAAATGCTAAAAATGTTGATATGGGCACATATGTTCAGATGCATGGAGTTCTCTGTGACATGTGAAAAACAAAAGGAACTAGATGAGGGAACAGAAACTGATGGTAACCTGGATGAATTAATTCAGGGGGGAAGACATAGTTTACTGTTTGTGTCTCTTTAGCAAACACTAAAATCTCAGGATTAAACTTTGACATGTCATTTTGTGCTCATTAAGTAGGTGGTAGTTGATAAATATTCAAAAAGTGTGGAAACTAGTGGCCTTGGAGGAGTATGTTAGCAAAACTTCATTTTTCTTAGTTTCCCTGTGTGTAAACTAGTTCAGATAAGAGTGGAGGCTTCATGTGACCACCGGAGAATTGAAAGAAATCCACGTGAAAGACCAAGCACATGGAATAAACCAACTCAACTACTTATTGCACCAAAAGAGGAGTCACCAGGAAAAGGCCGCTGTCAGTTGGCTTTTCCTCACTAACAAAAAAACGGAATCACCTCCTACTGACACAACACTGACGTCCAGGACATGCTGCTGTAAGAAATGTGATATTCGGTTAATAACTAGAGGCACAAAAACTATCGTTGTCTCCCTTGAATGAAAGTCTTGTTAATAAGTTTGTCAGTGCTGTTTTCTGTTGGAGTGCTGTTCCTCCATGATTTTGTCTGACAAATTCTTTCCGATGAAGAAATAGAAGCTATGACACATACTGCTTTATTGGTTGTGATTTGATTTTATGGCCATTCACACCAAGAGGCTGATTCTACTTTCCTGCCATGTGTGTATGCTGATTTTGCGAGGCCATTGCAGAAATGCACGAGTTTCAAAGGACTTGGTGCACGTGGATCGGATCTTAGAGATCCAACAATGCATAAAAATAATAAATGGTGGTTATTTCCAGCTACAAATAACGAGATTTGCTATACAATATCACAGACTAAACTATAGTAATAAACTACATCTAGATCTTAGTTCAATGGTCACTTATATAGATAACTTCTGTAACTTTTCGTCATGCAACCTACAGTGTTTTTCTCCCTCCATATTCCACACTCACCAGTTTTGTGGCATTTACTTTTTGATGCTGTGTAATCTCTGACTTGAGAGTCAGTGAGTCCATAGAGGTTGAGTCAATATCATTCAATAACCTTCAAGGGCATCTTCTATGGATGCCCTGCTTAGAGTGGAGAAGTCTGAAAGGTGATGGTGCTCAGTCAGCTCATTGTTGGATTTATACACAAATTCAATTTTGGGGTCTTCAGTTACCTGAAAACCACAAAGCAGTCAGCTCATTGGCAGGGTACTGAATATATGCAAGAATGCTGTGTTTTAAATGTTAAAATTTGTCTGGGTGATAGAAATGCTTTGCATATGGATTTGTCTCACCAATGACCTCTCTCCATTCTCCTCCAGTTATTCTATGGCTACACGATGTATGTTTCCAGTCTGAACTAGACAAGGACAGCAACCCAGATTTCCACGCCTGATTGCATGTTTGGGCAAGTGCAGGTACATGTCGTAGGACCGTGGATGTGGCTTCTCAGCCATCAACTGGGATAAGAACTGTACTGCACAGCTTTCTCTGTGGCACCTGGAAATTGAACGCAGGTTCTCAGGCTTGCAAGGCAAGCATTTTACCAACCAAGTCATCAACACAGGCCTTACTTGTCAGCCTCAATCAATGACTTCACACGCAATGAACTCAATAGAACTATCCCTTTCTGAAAGCGAGGGATTTCTTGTCGGATGTCATGGATCCAGAGAATGGCAGATTCAGTGGCCAAGGTCACATATACCGAGAATGGTAGAGTCAATTACTGTCCAAACCTGTCTGGTTTCAGACTCTTTCAGCTTCTTCTTTAAAGTGTGTCTAAAGTAAGATGGAGGTGAACGCCCCTTCCTCCCCGGTAAACGGTGTGTAGGGCTCGGAGCTTTATCCGTCACTTTTCCTCCACTTATCAAATTGTGAAGGATGAAGAACTCTATAATGACTGCTCCTCTCCATGAAGCAGAAATGTCAAGTATCCTGCTTATTACCAATGCCACAGGCTGTAAATTGTATATTCATTTGAGCGAATGGGTAAGCTTTTATCATAATCAAATCTTCACACGTACTGGCTCTATAGGCAAAGTCCATACTAACTGAATCCATTCAAAATTAAAATTGTTTCACACACATACATGCACACACATTTTTCTTTTTTTTCTTCCCTTTTCCTTTTCTTTTCATCAGCCCCCTCCTTTTTTTTTTTTTTTTTTTTCCTTTGACAAAGTCCAAGTTGGCTCTGAAGTTGTGGGCAACCTTCCTGCTTCAGTTTTCCAAGTGCTGGGAATTAGAAGTATGTGCCAACATCCCTGGCTGCTAACTGGACAAATTTTATGCAAAGATTCTAATTCATTCTTTTGAATACTTTATTGTAGGTTTAACCTGGTGGGGATTCATCTTCTCTGGATCCCTGCGTCACTCACAATGTTCTTCTAGTTCTAATTTGTTCGGCTAACTCAGGGTAGATTGCTTTCTTTTAACTGTCCAGAAAATACTGAAAATTTGGCTTAGTTTTGCTTTTTTTTTTTTTTTTTTACATGCCTTTAATCCCAGCACTTGGGAGGCGGAGGCAGGCGGATCTCTGTGAGTTCGAGACCAGCCTGGTCTACAAGCGCTAGTTCCAGGACAGGCTTCAAAACCACAGAGAAACCCTGTCTCGAAAAACCAAAAAAAAAAAAAAAAAAAAAAAAAAAAATCACTACTCACCCACTTTTGAGTTAGCTGAAATCACCTCCCTTTCTTCTTGTAGCTTAAATATTTAAAACCAGCGTTATAGCTCCACCCAAGTCTCACAGTGATCAGAAAGAAACTTTAGAGCCACTTACAGACACGGTGTAAAACTTCATCCCTATGCCACCCAATAGTCCCCTCAGGTGATGTAGGAGGGAGAACTACATGGTCCAAAAACGTTAGGTGTAGGTTTCTATTTCCAAGATTCACCATACACATTAGGAAGTAGATAAGGTGGTTCTTTGTACATCATAGCTTCCAAAATTTAACTAGTGGGGCAGCAGAAACTATCAGATTTATATGAAAACATTGTTTTGCTATAGTGTGTGTGTGTGTTAATAGCTTTGGGGAAACTACTGGTTTAAATCATTTTTTATATCTTCTTTTAGATACTCACCAATTACTTTAAATAAATTAGAAAATATTTTTGAGTCAACCATATTATTTCAGCTCAGATCAATTCTCTAAGCTCTCCTTTTTAAATGCCTAGGTAATTTTCCATATTCTAAACATTACTGAAGAGAGAATCAGGCAGTCAAATGTGTTGGAATGCCTAATATTACATGTCTCCCTACACCGTCCCACAAATATTCCACAGATTCTTACTATTTTACCATGGCAAGCAGAAAGTGNNNNTATATATATATGATTTAAAAAAATCTGTGTACTTATGTATGGGTGTCTGTATGTGCACATGCATGAGGGTACCCATGCAAGCCAGGACAGGGGGCTGGGTTCCCTAGAGCTGGAGTTACAGATGGTTGTGAGTCACCTATAGTAGATGCTGGGAACAGAATTTCGGGTCCTCTGGAACAAGAGCAAGTACTTCAGCTTGGAGCCATTTCTTCAACTTGTAGAGCGTGTTATACAGTGTATAAAAGTATTACATTTGAGGGATGTGAAAAAGGCATTTCTGTTACTGTGTGGCTATGATTACCTTGGAGTATCTAAACCTACATCCCCAAGAAAGGGGTGTGTGTGCACAACCATAGGTGTGCAAGTGTGTATTTAGGTGGCCTTTGATTCTTAGAAGATAATGTATTTGGTTCAAATGGCTCATACTATTTTCTGAGGCCAGAGGGAGAAGGGAGTTTCACCAAGTTTTGATGATTTGACAACTGCCCTTAAGGAGAGCATCCCAACACTTGCTAGGATATGACCGTGTCCTCACGGAGATTTCAAAGTCCCACTCACGGAACATATCCTAAAATGTCAATAAAAGACTCTTTATTCATAAATAACTGATAAGCAGCAACTTATGCCTGCACATTTATCTTGAAAAGTCGATAACCATCCATTTTTTTTTTGCAAACTCTACATAAAACATCCAAACGGGCCATTTTGTTCAGTACAATATAACATAGCTGTTTGGCATTACCAAATATATATGTATATATATTTATAGATATGTACATTGCTGAAAAAGAAGCCGGTGCACCCTTCTCTAAGGAGTCCATCCAAGTATCGACTGTACAACATTCAGAATTTACACTGATAATACAAGGCACAAAAAGTGTGGTATGAAGCCAAGGCCATGCTTTCCTTAGACCCTCTCCTCTGGCTTACTCTCCCCTTCAGCTTCATGTCCGAGTTAGTGTTCCGTTTCAAATATTATTTCATAAATTTTGGCTTTGAACATACCAAATAATTGTTGAGGGTGGTATGAGTTTTTTTTTAAAAAATGAATCATTTGAAAGAACACCCCCATGTACCTTCCCAAAATAAAAAGAACAAAATGAAATATGCCTAAATTCTTCCATACAGGAGGGAGAAATATCGCTCACGTTTCCAAGTTTGGGCTAGGCTGGAAAATGAGCCAGCATTCCTCTAGCTGCCTGTGTTTCCAATACTTCTAGGTCAGGATTTATTGGAGTGTATGTATCAAGCAGACCTAATTATGAACAATGGAAATTTTGCTCATCCAGGATAGAGGAGACAGCTGTTTTCCTGACAGGGGAATGCTGACGCTTGGGTATTTTCCCCTTTATTGAGAAGTTTTCTCTGGGAGCAGGCAGCATCTATGAGAGACCTCATGGGGGTTTCCATGCTCAGTTTTTCTCCCAGGAGGTCCTGAGGGATTCATCCTGATGAGTCTCCCTCTTACCATTCTCCATGCTTGCTAGTGGAAGAAGATTGGAATTGCTGCTTCCACATTGGAGCAGAATGCCTGTGTTTCAGGAAAGGGGTCTCGTGGCATGACGTTCGGCTTACGTAGTCTCCTTAAATGTCATGCTTTCATGAAAACCCCGATTAGATCACCAGCCATTAGATTTTAAGGTTATTGAAGAACTTTTTCAATACTGGAATTTGGGTGTGAATTGTACTTGAATTATGTGGATTTTTTAAAGAGTTAGCCAAATTTGAGACAAAGGGCATATTCATTATATCCATGCCTTCTGTGAAAGTATTTGACACATATTCCCAGTTAGGTAAAGAAAGACATTACCAAATTCACTTATATATAACGGAAACTAAGGCATAACTTTGTGGAAAAATGATACAATTCCTGTTGAACTTAATACTGGTCAGGGCAGGGAGAATTTTAAGCTTAGGCCTAGGTCAGATGCATACTGCCTTTTTTTTTTTTTTTAATCTTTGGATTCAGATACATGGTAGGTTCAAAGACATGAAGTTGAAATGTTACTGTCTTGGGCCCACTTCATGAGGACACTCCAAATCCATGATCTTCACAGCAAAAGGAAAAAGCAATGAGTAGCTGCTTCAAAAACCACAATTATTCTATGCGAGATAAACTTCCTACTGCAGATCACAGTACTACACACTAGTGACTAATAGCCAGGCCTGGCGCCATCCCCTTTCATCGGCAGGAAATAATGACAGTCTACAATCGCTGTTGCAGCTTTGTTGGTGACCCTGAAGTGGGGATGTGAAGAGTCCATGGTAGACACTGGCTCTCCTAGAGATGCTTCTGCAAAAGACACCACATGCTGTCAATACAGCCAAACAGCTTTGTCACCTCAGCTTTTGAAAGAGTTTGGAAAAGAAAACAAAAACACAAAAATATGCAACACGTCTAAGATTAGTAACAGTTTCACTTTTGTGACGTTTGACAAAATACGTTTCTGCTTGTAGTTCAGGAAAACTATGCGGACAGAACAGTGGCAACTACGGAAACGATGGCCATCCAACTGTTGGCAAAAAGCATCAGTGTTCAAATACGGTGCTATGACAACGGACACCAAAGGGCTAATAAAATGTTGTTACCATTGGCAAACCCACACGTTTGCTCTCCCAGGTGCTGTGGCTGTCACCTGGAGTCCAGGCAATGGGAGTTACTAAGGGTTCAGACTTTGCAATGCTTCATGAGAGACAGAATGAACATGGGCCGCGCAGTGGGCCAGAGAGGCACGTTTCTCAGCTCCTTCCTCAATTCTGCTGGAATGAAGACCTCAGAGAGTGTTGCCTTTAGCATGTCTGATAGCTCTGTCATTCAATACACTTACAGAGGCTAGACCAAGAAATTCAAAACGTCTGAAAAGAAAACAAAACAAGGAAGCAAAAAAGCAAATAATAATAATAATAAACAGAAGCATATCCCAAAGATTTTGTTAACACTCTGAAGTTCACAGGTAAATTTGATGAAAGTGTATAAAACCATTCACGCCATGTTAATTTTCTACCTTTGCTTCTCATATTTAATATTTGGAGGTTTCCTTGAGGAAAAACTACAGCAATAAATCCAGATATTTTACTCCAAAGAGAACCCTGTGTGATTTTACTTAATAGTCCTTCTCCCAACTAAATGAAAGAAAAACTACCAGGACCACAACAGTTTGAGATAAAAGTAAGAAAAAATAAGAGAAAAGTTCCTCTCCTTAAAGAGAGCTGTATCAATTCCTTTACATCTCCTACAAAAAGGCCAATAACATTTTTGTGGGAGTCCATTTGAGTTTTAAGAGTCTGCTGCACTGGTAAGTGAAGTTTGCATTTAAATCCATGGAACAAGCTTCCGTTCAGCTTAAAGGATGTTAATGTAAAATGCTAAGACTATATATGTGATGTTGTAAAGACCATAAATTAACTTTACGATGCTGTAGTCTGGCAAAACTGTGGATCACACCATTTTGGTGGCCTAATTTTAACTCAAGTTTGAAGTATAACTATTAGACTTAAAGTTTCCGAGCACTGAGAAATTTGGCATTAAGTAGAATAGCTTTGCACAAATTTTACATAACCTACCAAGTATTTAAGGCCACTTTTAGTTTTTGCTTCATCTTGTACTAGGACGGTGACACTTTGAAATTCAGTGCCTGGAGTGATGAGTAAGCTTCTTCCGAGAGGGCCATTTGTGTCGCGGCAGGTGACGATAATGGAAAAGCTTGTGGTCACAGTGAAACACTACACTTTCAAGTGTGAGCTAAGGACTGTGTGACCTGCAGACCCTCCCCCAACACACAAAAATCCCTCGGTCTGTAAACCGACCAGGGTTCTCTTTGCAATTTCATTGTAAAATATTACACAAACCCTGACATGCAATGGCTGAAGAAGTTAACATTTATTTCAAAATCCTGTGTAGCATCCTAGCAGAAATAAGAGTGAAGAAGGAAACACAAAAAGTCAAGGTGAATTGCACAAAACCATGGACTGGGATATGAGATGCCTCGTGTTAACATCCCCCTTGTCACTGCACGGAATACTATGCTCAAGGGCACTTATAAACACAGGTCAGAAAAAAAATACAAAACCTGAAGTCAATGGGGGAACTGCAGACACTTGAGGATCAGCGTTCCTGTTGTTCGTGTTACCTCACCTTAAAATAACCTACACAGATGCCAGGAAGGTTGCTCACAAGTTTTCTCTGTTTACACTACTATAAAAAGTTTTAAAAATCTACAAAGAGCATGTGTAGGCTCACACAACAGATAAACAATTATAAGGCCAATTGGGAGAGAAAGAAGAGAAGATGACAGGGTAGGAAATTTAAAGCAAAAATCTTCCAAGTGGACATTAGTGTAAGATCTCTCTAGAATGTGTTGCAAAGAGTTTATCACCTAACAGGGGATGCAGATCCCAATCTGCATCCGGTCCTGCCACTTATCACTTATCCGGTTTGTGGGTCATCATCAAAAAACTTAGAGTGATGCCAAGCAGTTTTATATTTTTATGCTCTTTCTCTTTCTTCTTCATAAGGATGAATAAATAAGTTGAGAATACTAGGGGAAAGGTGTTCTCCTGGTCCAGATATGGGCTTCTGGGTAGATTTGACAGTTCTAAGATGATTAGTTTGTTCACTAAAATAAACCTTTGGTTCCTGAGCAAAGCATCATGGGTCTTTTATTATTTGCATATGACAAAGTCTTCTATGTAATATAGGTGGCCAGATATATCACATATTAGTTAGATAAAATGGCTAACTCATTGAAGAGTTCTTCAATGCTTTGACCATGGGATTATAACTTCAACCTGTCTTTAGGTCTTTTGCACTTGGAAAGAGATTGCAAACATTTGTTTTCAAACAAATGGCCTCTAAAAACCAAAAGCATAATAATATCCTCATTACCAAGGAGTCTCATTTCTTCTATTTCTGAACATCGCTTTTCAAATGTAGCCAGCCTCAAAGTAGCTATGTAGCTGCCTGGGATTTAATGTAGGTGTCTGAGTTGTGATGTCCTCACTGTGGACAGTTACTGAAAGGATTCGCCACAAGATGAACATATCTGTTCACTGCTAGTCAGTTAGGGTATGGGTCAAAATGATGTAATCAGGTATAAATGTGTAGCAAAGCATATGATGCAGCTCACATGTAACCCACAGATTCCCATTCCCTACAATGTCACGGCTTTATATTAATAAAAGTCGTAAGATGAGAGCCATGAGTGACCAGTGTTAAGGAGAATGCATACACAGGAAGGCCAGGCAGTCAGAGCACAAAGCCTCTCTGAATGGTGCATGTGGTTCTTAGGACAGTGTCATAGAGTATTCTGTTCCTTGGGTGCATTTACTCAGATCCTCTACACAGAAAGGCTATCAGGTAAGTTTCCAAAAGGTCACAGCAGGATGTCATGTCTTAAAGTTCCATCGAGACATACTGTGGTGGCCTAGTATAAAAGGTTAGAAGAGTTCCAGAATCTGGATGGAAAAGCACAGTAAAACACATTTCTTATAGGAAAAAAATATTGGACAAAATGGATTGTCCAATCTCCTAGAATGGGAGTAGACGGGCTCTACCCATCTCCTAGAATCAGAGCTTACTTAAAGCCTGCGACATCTGCAGTCTATTTATTTTCCTGGACCTGGGCTAGCGTCTCTGTCTCCATTCCACGGAGTGAACTGTGTTCTAACAGCACACTGAGATTTGGGTAGTCTGGGTAGTCCTGCTCTGTTGAGTTGAAGTGCATAATCATGTTCTTTACTATCTCTGTACTGCAATCTGTTAGGATGGGAAAAGAAATGAGTTTTGTTTCGGGGCGGGGGGATGAAGGTGAGGTACCAAGAACTAGTTTGAGGTCTATCTCGCTTTTTGATCTTGTCTCAATCAAGTGACTCATATAATAAGTGCTGGTGTGATGTACTCAGATTCTAAATTCTAAATGCTCTCCCCCAACACTGGTGACATCATACTAATAGGTTGACCAACTGGATTTGCTTCTTAAAACTAGTCTCCCCATGATTTCCAACATCCTAGGTGCTAGTTGGTTTGAAACTAAAAATCAGGTTTCAGAATCAGGTGGTCCTGGGGGGCAAGTCATTCCAAACCTGTTTCCAAGCATGCACTTACTCTCTGCCTTCCAGCTTTATTGTACTGTTTCTACTTTTCATAACTACTCTGATCTACAGTTACCTTCACCTCTCCCCTCAGCAGTCCAAATCTGAGGAGGATATCCAATGTTTACCCGTGTGTAGACCCAGAGGAGTATTCTCTTCTTTTATGTCCCCCCGTTATTAACACGTTTTACCTATTATCAAATTCATTTTCGTCAACCAGGGATTTTTTTCACTGACTCTCAATAAAGGCTGCATTAATGCCCCAGACGCCACTGGGTAGAAATCTGCCTCTTCTTCCCCAGTTGAAGCCTCTTGCCCTGAAGCTGGCCATCACTAGTGCTGCCTCAAGAGAAGAAACAGATTAGAGTCCATTTTGCCTGCTGTAGTTGAAGTCAGCTTCCTCGAGCTGGGACTCTGTGATGTTTGACAGTTTCGTGTGTGTCCTCCCAATCTCTTCTAGGGCACAGGCGAGTGAGTCAAGATCCCCATCCTGCTGGTGACGAGCTTCCCAGAGGTTCAAAATGACAGCAGAGGGGCTACTTTGTGTAGCAAAATACGACAAATTCCTAGATAAAATGAAACAAAAGGTGAATAAGTGGGAATGATGAAACAAGGAATCGTTGTAAAGGGACTAACGGGAACTCTCAAGGTTTGTTTATTTAGATTTACATGTGTATGCCACTTTCATTTATGCACCACAAGCACACAGGCACCCGAATAAGCCCGAAGAGGACGTCTGCACTCCTGGAAATGTAGTTACAGGCAGTTGGGTGCAGCCAACTAGGTGCTGGGAACCGAACCAAAGTCATCTGCAGCAGCAACTAAGTGCCCCTAACTGCTAAGCCATCTCACTAATCCCTAATATGAAATTTAAAAGACAGCAATAAAATAGTGGTAGAAAGTTCCAGAAACATAGGCCCGAGGCAGTCCGGTTTGTATACCAACACTCAACTACAGCTATGCTTCAGAATGATCCCAGTGGCTTTCTCTTTTGAGTCTTGCCTTGGTCCTTCCCTTTCTTCAGTTTCATGTATGAACATGTATGTATGATTCCCTCCTAATTGTTCTCTTGAAGTGTTCTTTTACATTGGTTTATATGATAAGGTAAATCATCACACCCCCCTTTTCAAATATTTGACTCCCTACCTCTTCTGCAAATATAAGGGTTACCAAGGTTTTGTCTTCAATTTTTGACCCCCGTGTTCTTTGGTGCTAAATGTGCACCTCCCATTTTCTTGGCTAATTAAACTATTTATAGGGTTTATTATAGCCTTAGGCATTGTTGCAATTACAAATCTATCTACCACTTCAAGCGCAGCGCATCAATTCTCATCTGAATGCCTTGGAATTAGTAGCTATAAGCACCAGTATTTATGATTCTTTTTATAATTCCTTACATTAGGAAGTTCGATTTGACCCTTCCCTTTGTTGTTTCTTCCTTTGGTAAAAATCAGCAGTATCTCCCTTCTATTTCGGGGACAGACATCATTTTTATCTTAGCATCTCAGAATTTCTATCATATAGTAACGGACTTGGAACCCTGTGTCTAAACTCTGAACACATGCTGCATTCCTACATTCTATCTATCAAATCAGAAAAAAAAATTGTTTTCATGCCTATCTGGTATGACCTCATTGAGGCTATGTAGACCATCACACACACACACACACACACACACACACACACACAACTTCCCTTTCACTCCTACTGTCTTCTTTCTTGACTACAAAACGCTGAAAGCTAAAGATCATATTGAATCATTTCCTGAATCTGCCATAGCATTTATCATAATACTATGACAGGTATTTATCCAACATCCATTAGCTGACATTAACTGAGTAATTGATTCTTAGATGTCTTTTCTAGGTGATATAGCATCCTCAGTGAAAGAGAAAAAGGCGAACCTCAACCTTTTGGACAATAACTTTGCTCTGATGAGGACTAAGACAACACAAAGGATTAAAGGTCACTGTTTTTCACGGGGACTTTTACAGTAAGGACGGAAATGTCGTGCCTGATGAAAATTTAGTGTTTTGAAAAGATTTTAAAGAGCTGTTCCTATTTTGAAGATAGTTGCCCTTTCTGCCAGTCTTCCCAGCAGACGATCACAAAGTGGAATCCCATAAAGAGCATTGAAGGAGAGCAGAGGAGCTTTCAACTCTATCTGACTACTTACATGACACACACATGCACATTACCAAGGTTATTAGATATACCAATCACCAAACATAATTTTTTTAACCAAGAAGGGGAGAAGGCCAGTTTAGGAATATTGACACTAGTCTCTAGTTTCTTTCATTATTTTCTCACCTTCTTCTGCCTGCCCGCCCCTACTTTCCCTCACATTCACCTGCCCCATGCACCCCTTCCATGCTAACAAAACCAGCAAATCCTGCAACAGCACCTGGAGGGCTTCTCGTTCCTGTTATCTAAAAACTTGGATTTGAACACTGACACTTTCTCATGTTTGGGGGGTGATGTTTCTAGAAGTTTTTGGATCTTACTATATCTATCCCCTTTCCTAAGTCTCAGGCAATACAGAGCTAGAAAGGTTAGTGGGAAAAATGGGGCACCCAGAGGTCAGACTTCAGTAGACTCAGACTAGCTGGTGTGGTCCTGTTTTTCCATATCAGTTAACTATTTTTGGAAAAAATAAAAGGTCTTTGTGATCTCCACTCTTGTTAAAAAGACAAAAACTGCAGGTTGGGCTGTGGCTCAGTGGTAGAGGTCTAGCCTAGCCCTGGACTAGTTTCCCAAGATTCCTCTTCCTACACACAAAATTCAACTGAAAGAGCAGTTCTGTTTTACTACAGAATGCTTCTGTTTTGCATTTTCTATTAAACAATATTAGACTTTTCTCCTGTGACTGGGCTCATAAAGACCCTAATTTTAGACCACGATGTATTTCACATGTTGACAAACCTACAAAGGCTAGCAAAATAGTTCTGGCTTTGTGGTTCTTGGATGACCTCTCTGAGTCTGCCACACTCTACCAGCAAGAGACAACGTAATCCCACAAGGTATGGAGTAAAGCTGAAACTTGATTCTCATGTCCATCCCACCTTTCTTACAGCATAACTCTTGTGGCACTCTCCCCCTTGATACATTTATAAATGAAACAACTATTCTGAGCTTGTGACAGACAGGGAAAGGGCCAGATTTGCCCTGGAGCCATTTTGCTGCCTCTGCCCAGGAGCTCTCATGACTTAATTAGATGTTTAAAGCTGAGAAGAAACTTAGACTGAACTTCCTGCTTTGTGTTTCCTTTGAGAAAGTATGAAGATGTCCAAAGTTGCTGAGCCCCAAGCTAGACTATCTGGCTGCAGAACTCTATGACATTTATCCATTCACATGTTTAAGGATCTCTGGCACTTCAAGATATAAGCTTAACAACTAAATAGTGAAAATTCTCAATCTTGTTGATGTGGGCATCCCCTCTGTGTGCTGTGATTACCATTAATGAATAAATAAACTGTTTTGTACCTATTGCAGGGCAGAACTTAGCTGGGGGGGGGGGGGCGAGACACATATAGCAGGGATCCACTTTGAGTTGCAGCCAAATAGCCTCAGCACCGGAGAATCTTCTACTAGGTGCAGGCTGTAAACTCATTAAGGATTTGGGCTTCTACCCAACACTGTCAACCAATTGCACCTGTAACCCCAAGGGCAGCAAGTTTGTTTACATTCCTTTAAAATGTATATTGAAGTCAGCCTCTTTCTTTTCCCCCCTTAAAAGCTTCTTTCTGAAGGGTTTATCAGTTTTTTAAAGCAGTAAAAAGCAAGTTGAGCTATCTATAATAAATTAGAAAACATTGTTTCTGGAATAGTGAATAATCCTACTGTACAGTGTGGAAGAGGGAACTGAATCACAGTCCTAATGAAACAATATTAGTATCGCTGCTATCATCCTAATTGTCTCATTTAATGAAAACCTCTTATGGGACCCAGAGCAACCCTCCACACAGTTCTTTAAACGCAAACAGAAGAGCAGAGCCATTCTTCCTGAATCACGGTAATTGGACACATCATACTCATGTGCTCGGCTCATCAAGCTTCCATCTCCAAACTCCAAACAGCAAAGTAAAGCCCCTGTCGTGGTAAAGCAAGGGAGCGTTCATCTACTGCTACTGAGGGAGCAAGAGGCGAGCTCTATAAGAACCCTAGGGCTTCCTGGAAAAGGGAGATGACCAGGGACACAGAAGGGAAGGGTGGGGGCAGCTGAAGACATGCTCCGATCCACCATGCTAATCTGAACATCCTGGTCCTTCCCTGAGCTCCTTTCTGTCCATTCTGTCATCTGCTCCCGGAGAGAAAACCAGAAGGGACTTCACTCTCCGGGTAATGTATGGAAGCCTCTGGGCCTAGAAGTCTCTGTGAGCTGCCAAATGAAAACAGAGCTAGTTACAGTCTCTTGTCAAAGCTCCAGTTTTATTCTTCCCAGGACACACGTGATGATTTCCATCTCGTGGAAATGAAACGACAAAGACTACCAAATAAAAATCTGGATGTTGCTTTGAATCGGAATATATCCGTGTGGGGGAAAAAGTAATCTGAATTCGAGTCAACTTTCTTCGTCAATCACCTTGAGGCATTTTTGAGAACCCTGAGGGCAAAGTAGGACTCTGGTTAATTCCAAGAGAAAAGCATGCAGCGCCAATCCTCACTGGAGGAAGGGTGAACTAGTCAGAGTTTGCAAGCTATTTGGTGTGAGCTTCAATAAGGCTTCCACCTCACTGGAAGGAAGGGCCATTTAGGGGCACTTAGATAAATAAGGCGAGATCACTGTCCTTTCACTTTCTCATATCTGAAAGACATCAACTCCAGACGTATGGACATGGTTGGTATTTTCAGTATAGATTTCAGTGCTGCTTGTTCGGGGCATCCTTCAGTCCATGGGGCTCTGCTTTGTCCACCTTTTCAGAAGAGGGCCATATTTAAAGAGGGGAGCTTTATTGCTTTCAAGATCGGTAAGAACTTACCAGTGCCTAAGGAAAAACAAAAGACAAACAAACAAACAATCCCTTCCCCCTAAACTTGGCACCATCTCTTGTGATCACCCCTTGGCCCTAACAGTGTGAGCGCAAGATCATAAAAAGCTTCTTTTTCCATATTGCCTTTAGGATGGACACCTGCCACTTACAATTCATACACAGCTTGTTCATGGCAAAACCTGTCCCAGGGCTGCCTCTTTTCTGTTTCACATCAGCAGGCAGTTTCATGAGTCGTTGACTTCAGCAGAATGAAGCCCAAACACCCACCACTCTGCTGTGTTAGAACCCTCTGGCCTCCCGGGCTTTTCAGATTTCAGACCCTGAATAAGCCAGTAAGTCTACTGGGCTAGAACCAGCAAATCTGATTTAAGCTTCATTGTACTTCACCTCCAGGGACCTACATAATGCTATTGCCCTGTGCCTTAATTCTCCTGGCTGCCACGAAGGGTTTTGTTTTCGTTTTTGCTGTTTTAATTTGGAAATGTCAGCCTTAAAACGTAAGGGGGTGCTTGCTTTCTGGCTTCTAAGCCTGCAGAGCCAAGCAAGCTCTGTCTGGTGTGAGCACAGGAAATTTC